GGAAGGTAGATGGAAAAGAAAGAACTAGACAAGAGACAAGCTTGAGATAGAGGCTAAGGGTTGATGCAGATAGGGAAAACAAGAAAAAAAAGAAGGAAAAGAGAGAGAGAGAGAAAGAGAGAGAGAGAGAGAGAAAGGAAAGATAAAATGAAAAGAAAGCAAGACAAGAAAATTATACATACACTGCTGATGGCAAACAAGAGATATAAAAAAGAAAACGAGTAGAAACGAATAGAATAGAGAACGAGGGAAGAAGCATATAAGAAATGTGTCAGAGAGAAAAGAAATGTCAGGTGGCAATACGCCCACATATCTGATATTCAGTTTTATCAGAGGTCTTATCAGCCGGTCAGACTTTTTATCAGTAACAGTCAATATAATCATGTACGGTTTGCTTTTTGTCGACGTACATGTACATAGATTGTTCTTCGATCAATCGTGCAATGAAAAATATTCAGATCTTCAAACTCATTTTTAATAATAATAATAATAAATTATCTTATTATATCTATGCGTAAACATTTGTACTTATTTGTACTTATTGTACATGTAAACATTAATAATATATGTTACATGATGTGTAATATTATTAATGTTTACATGTAAATAAGTAATATTTACATGTACAAATATTTACATACGTATAGATATAACAAGATAATTTATTATTATTATTAAAACTGAGCTAATAATGAGCTTGAAGATCTCAATATTTTTCACTGTATGATAAAAAAATATTTAAAAAATATTTAAAAAATTATATGTTTATATCAGATTTTGATTTGTATAAAAATGTTAATTTAAATAATGTAAAAAGTTATATGTATTTAATTTTTAAACGATATTATATTTAATTATTTAAACAATATAAACTATTTTGTGTGTGTGTGTGTGTGTGTGTGTGTGTGTGAGAAAGAGAGAGAGTGAGAGAGAGGACGAGAGAGTGGGAGAGAGAGGGAGAGAGAGAGATTAGTATAGGACAAAGGAATTTGTCATAAGGCATATGCGTTTTAAATGATTTATAAGATAATGTTTTTATCATTTTGTTAAACACTTTTTATTCGAGTAAAGTAAAATATTAAATTACGAAACTAAAAGAGATACTTTGATAATATTATTTCTTGCTTTTTTTTATTGCAATGTAAAAAATTTTCAATAAAAAAAATTTTTCTGTTATGTATTAAATTGATTATTAAGTGATTACAGCTATACTACATAAAACTAAAAAACAGTATATGGGCTTGTAACGCCCACAAAACTAATGAAAATATGGAATTTTATTATGGAAAGGAATATTCTGCACATATATTGTAAAAGAATCTACATTTACATGTAAATTCCGGTATTCAATTTTATCTAGAATAAAGTTACTTTAAGAACGTGATACGAAAGACAAAATGCTTTTCGTATATATCAACTAAGAAAAAACTTTAATTCTTTGACGGCAAAAGCAATTTACACTTAAATTATTTAAAGACATAAAAAGGGCTTGTGAGTAGAATACAGAAAAAGATAAAATGTTAGTGTAATGTAAAATGTCTCTTTTTCTATTAAACTCTTTTGAATAAAGTTATAAAATCAGTATCTTTAGAACAAAAATTAACAGATTTATCTCTAAATGAAAAAATATATTGAAGTTATTAATAATTACTTAAAATTATTATATTATTAATTGTTAGAAAAAAGGAGGTGATTATACATCAAATATCTGGGAGTTTATAAAATGTCACAACGGAATATCTTTTTTAATTTGTGCTGCATTTTGGAAGTAATCGTCAAAATTAATTTTTTACAGTCTTAGACGACATATATGTACATAAACATATGTGATTGGTTGTAGTATTTGCTGAGTTGTCGTTATATAAGAATTGCAATTCAATATCACAGCAAAAATTCAGCAAACACAAAATATAACTGTCATACAACATTAGATTTAAAAAATGTCTATGTTTGCATATATATAATGTGTTTTGAGCGCCATTTAGGGCTATAATACTCAGAAAAACTTAAGCAATAAAACAGTAAAGAACAGTAAGCAGTAAAGAAATCAATTGTTGGATTTGCTACTGCTTACGTTATAGCCTTCTCGATTCAATTCTCGATTGTGATTGATCGATTCGCTTATTGCTTAAGTTTTTCTATGTGCCATGACTCTTAATTTCTTCTTTTTTCAATTTATCTAATACTATATCGAGAGCTTATGATTTATTTAAAATCCATAAACCTTTCCTTCTTTAAATAATTATTTCATTTTCTGGTAGCTCTTTACATAATTTTGCCATGTTTTTTCTTCAAAAAATTATTTCTTTCAATTTATCAATTTCAGCTGTCAATCAAGTTTTTAGTAGTTTCAGAAAATTCAAATCTGCATGTCATTGATGATTTTAATTTTATTTCGTTAAGCTGGATACACATTTAACGAACGAGTAGCAAACGCGAACGTTCGGATATTCGCGTTCGTGTTTTTTAATGCAATCGAAAAAAAGAATGAACGATCTATGAACGCGAATGCGAATATTCGAACATTCGCCTTTGCTGTTCGTTTGGTGTTTGTTCGCTAAGTGTGTACCCAGCTTTAAATTATCGATGTGATTTTACATTTTGTGCAGCGCTATAACTCGTTAGACAAAAAATTAAACAGTCTTGGTCTCTTGAATTTGAGTACTTTTATATTTATATAAATATATAGTTACATCGAGTGCATATGGCATCTGTCATATCATTTATTCTTATTAAGTTTATGCGTTTTCTGTTTTTTCAGATGTCGATAAAAACATACACATTTTCTCTTTTACGAGTAGTAAATAATGTAGAAAACCCTTTTTTAATTCACTTAATTTATTCGACAGTTGATATATTTTCTCGTCTTTTTCTGCATTAACTTTACACATTAAATATAAATTAACATACATTCACGTTTTTTTTTATTGATAATATACATATATTTTGTTATAAAAAATGTACAATATTTTTTATAATATACATTTAACTATTCAAATATACAATATACACATTTATATAATTGTAAAGAAATTTCTACAGTTATAAATATCTGTGTTATTAATTATAGTTGTACTTTATTGTATACTGCTTTTATATCATTAATTTGAAAGAATACTCTTCCTCAAATATTTCTCACAGAAACCATTGAATTTATAATCTATTAAAATTATATAATTATAATTTAAAAGTAAAATTAAATGTTATAAAATAAATATTATAAAAAATATTATACCTTTTTATAAGTAAATATATATATCATTAATAAAAAATGTAAACGTGTATTAATTTATATTAAATGTGTAAAGAAATGCAGAAAAGACGCGAAAATATGTCGACAGTTGAATAAATTAGTTGAATTAAAAATGGGTGTTTTACATTATTTATTACTCGTAAAATTTATAAAAAATTGAAAAAAATATAAGAAATTGCACCTAATCTTTTAAATAAAAAATAAATTTAAATTCTATATTAGATTAAGAAGAGAAACAATATAATACTATTTTATAGCAAACCTATACAAGTTTTAATATTAATTTAAATAATTAATTAAATAATAAAATGAAAAAGACTGTTTTGATAGATTGCTATAAAATTGAAATTTTTCATATAAAGATCGAGTATAAAATGATGCAAAAGGATAAATAGTTTGAATTAGACGAGATGTGTGAAAATGCAACTTGAAATGCCTATCTCGAAGGAGTTACAGGTGGTTGCTCTATAAAGAAAGACACGCGAGAAAAAGAAGTCACGAACACACTGCCATGAAGTAAAGAAAAAGGAATTTAGATGTAAGGAAATCTGCAGTAAGATAGAAATATACATTTTGATAGCAGTACACTTACTGTATAAATAATATAGGTTTAATTCGAATTGGACAATGTACGCAAAAACAAATATAAGTATGAATTTATATATATATATATATATATATATATATATTATAAAATAAAAATAAAACTCAAGTAGATCTCTATTGCATTTATTTAGTGATAATTAATTAATTTTGCAATAAAAAATGTATAAAACAACACAGCAGTATTTTAAATATAAAAGAATAAATATTGCATTATAATGTTAAATCAATAATATTTGAAAAATTTGTATTAAATAAAGAAAAATGTAATAAAAATTAAAGAAAGACCGACATAATTTCAATTAAAAAACGTTCATATACAAATTTTATTTATTAATATTTTGTGTGTAAAAAATATATCAAATTTATATTAATAAAAAATGCACTTTTTTTTGTAAAAATACATTTTATTCAATTATATGCATATTAAAGTCACAAAGTAAAACTACCAAACATATGAATTTGTGAAGGATTTTATAAAATGCTGTGTCTTAATTGATATTTTGTTAGTCAATTTAATTCAATATTCATATTGATATTTTAGGATTATATGTCTATTTGCTATAAGAAAATTATTTTCTCTATGCAATTTCACTTTATTCGCAGCAATAATCATTAATTATTTATTTTTAAAAGGAACTTTTACATTTAACATTTATTACACAACAGTTTTCTCCGAGCTGTAGTTATATAAATATAATATATAAATGCTGAAAAAATACTTTACCATATATAAATGCTGAAAAAAATATTAGAAGATAAAAAAAACTTTATCAACACAAGAAAACACTATTGACAAAAGTATCAGATGAGAAGGAAAATATCAGACATTAAATATCAAACGTAAGTTCTGCAGTTTTCATCAACAATTCACATTATTCATATACTGTTAATACTGTGTGAGGCATAAAAACATGTAAAAATCCCCCGGCAGGTTAAAAATGCGCGTGCGCACGAGCAACTGTAAGCAGGCCTAGAGAGCTTTCATGCTCTGCGCCACCCGATATATCGCTGGCGCGGCGCAATCCTCCCCTACGAAGCAAATCCAAAGGGGTAGTTTCTCGTGGATGGCGCTCGTGGCGCCGCTCTTGGATGTTCACAGAGGTAAGACTGTCAGGCAAGCCCCGATTCCAGGCCTCGGTTAGTCGTGCGAAGTGCGAGGATCGCGCAAGCTCGCAAACTTGTCACTGCTGCGTTTCGTACTTGTGCCCGTCGCAGCTCAACGAGCAGCTGTCAGCGGAAGGCCGGACCGATTTGTAATATCTGGTCAGTTATTTAGTCCCTCGTCCGTCCAATTATCATTTGACCGATCTGTGACGAGGGGGCTGATTCAGAGAGCAAGAAAAACGAAGTTGGTGGAAGAAGACGATATGCCAGAAAACGAACGGAACACGCAGTCGGATTCTCGATACGCGAGATAGTGGAGGACAACCGACGGATAAATAGTGACGATAGTGACCAGTGATTTCGGCACGATTTGGCAGCTTAATTGATCAGGTGCGGTATCCTGCTGATTCGCTGACTGCGCCGCGCGTGTCCGCCCACGAATACGCTCTTCTCACCCCCGCAAACGGTACTTTGCTTTCTCTACTCTATTTTCCTGCTACCACCCTCCTACTATCCCGCTGCATGCTCGTACACTTGTGCCGCAGTGTCGGCTGATTATTTTCAAATCCAAGTGTGTAAATCTGTAGTCATATTTTACGCATTTATACGCGTGTTATATTTTTACACATTTTATTTGTGTTTTACATAGTTAAATGCATATTTTTACACGTTTAATTTAACAATAATATGTGTAAGCGTGTAAAAAATATGCATTTAATTTACTGCAATTTACTGTGTAAAATACAGATAAAATGTGTAAAAATTTAGACTTATGCATTTGAATTTGCAGTGTAATGACACAGACGACTGATTAAAAGAAACCCAACACGTATAAGTATAGCGCAGGACAACGCGATTTCGACGCGTTTTTTTGCTTCAGTCCAAGGATATACTTTCGGTTGATTATCAGCTATCATATATGCCGTTTGCTTAGCACTTGACCGCTCGAGCAATCGAGCTATCGAGGATAAAGATATAAATAGATGTTCCAGAAGTGAAGTGGCCGAATCTTGATAGAAAAGCTGCGAGATGGAAATCAGATCACGCCTTATGTATTCATAGAGCTGTCTTGCTAGTAGATGCAAACACTTCGATTTATTTTGAATATATAAAATTAAAGAAAATATTTGTATAAACTATAATTAAAAAATGATTTAAAAATATGATTTTTTCAAAGAGCACACTGTTGACGCGATTACTTTTTGCTAGCTTTTACGCTCAATCTATTTTGAAATATTCTTTTCTCTCTCTCTTGCTCGCTTGCTCGCTCTTTCTCTCTCTATTCTACTTTTCGCACATAGTTTTATTGCTATCTCGGCGCCATTCAAAATTCTCACCACTACGATCAATGAACTTGGAAGCCGAACCGAAAGATAAGTACACGTCTCGCGAAATAGCCGAGTTTACGGCTCGTCCAATGTGGATTGGATCGATATTTATGAAAAAAAAAGTGCATAGGAAAATCTTCACTCGCGGTAATCAGAGCGTATGTATACGACGCAATCAGTTTTTCTTTTCTTCTCTTTCCTTTTTTTTTTAAATTCCAATACGTAACCTTTCATACCCTTTTGTGTTATATTGCCGCATACTTTCGAAATGAATTATACCGGTATGCCAGCAATTCAATTTGATAGCTGAGAACTTTACTTTTTCTACCATAATGCGGATGAGAGATTTTTTTTCTACTTTTGTACTCTCTCAATTACTTTATGCAGCCGTCTTAATTTCCGTGTAATTATACGCGCACTTTTTCATCAATGAATGACCGCCATGCGATCTCGTACATGCGCTCCAACCATCCTTGTATTTCAAATTTCGGCCATTGAATACGTAATATGGTTCATTTGAACCGGGCAATTTTAAGTACGTTATGCATTTACATGTAAATTGATCTCTATCCATGTGAATTAGATCTTATCAGCCTACATATGAGTTACAAGTCCACGATTTATTCCCATAAATATTAGCTGAAGTTAATTGGGGATTTAGCTATTCATTCTCTTTTTAATTATAGCTTGTCAAACTTCGAGATTACCTTTAATTTATAGATGATACAAGAAAATTAGAAAACAATATGTAGTAATATTTTACAAAAAATACACATTTACTAGCGCATTCTCTTTTAAATTATATAAAATGAAAGACAAGGAAAAGCGCGAATAAAAAATAAATTCAATGAATAAGATGGGCCAATGCAACGGTTATATCAGGATATTGGTACAATTTTATTATGTGATTTTACATACGTATCCTAGCTTCGACTAAACTGCGTGCCGTTACTTTCCGGATTCAGATCGGAAGAGCACACGT